CCCCACCCCATACTCCAAGTCCATGATCCCTCATTGATGACTTGGCCCAGTTGTCTCCCTGGTAACCGGCCCTGGTTACGAGGCTGAGTTGTTGGCTGGTGTTGCTCCTCCTAGGATTGGTAGAGGAAACCTTTACATTAAAATCAACAAATAGGGCTTCGCTGGTGGCGCAGTGGTTGAGAGTCCGCCTGCCGATGCATGGGACGTGGGTTCGTGCCCCGGTCCGAAAAGATCCCACATGCCGCGGAGCGGCTGGGCCCGTGAGCCATGGCCGCTGAGCCTGCGCGTCCAGAGCCTGTGCTCCGCGACGGGAGAGGCCACAACAGTGAGAGGCCCGCGTACCGCAAAAAAAAAAAAAAAGGCAAGGAAGGGTGCTCTCCCTAGAACCTTCAAAGGGAGCTTGGCCTTGCTGACACCTTGATTTTGGACTTCTAGCCTCCAGAACTGTGAGACGATACATTTCTGTTGTTTGAAGCCGCCCACTTTGTGGTACGGCTTCCCTGGCAAACTCATACAGCATGTTTACATCTATTCTTTGATTTGCTCCTCCCAACTGCATGTTACTATCTGTGATGGTCAGCCTCCATGATGGCCCCAGCGGTCCCACCTCCTGGCATTCACTTCTCTGTGTAGTTCTTTTCCACACTGAATAGGGCTGACCTGTGTCACTAAGCAGATAGGGTAGGGGGTCCCTGGAGAAAGAGAACCAGGCATGGCTTTCTTGACAGAAGAGAAGCCATTTAAAAAAAATTGCTTTTAATTAATTTATTTTTATTTTTGGCTGCGTTGGGTCTTTGTTGCTGCGCACAGGCTTTCTCTAGTTGCAGTGAGCAGGGGCTACTCTTCGTTGCTGTGTGCGGGCTTCTCATCACAGTGGCTTCTCTTGTTGCGGAGCACGGGCTCTAGGCACGCGGGCTTCAGTAGTTGTGGCACATGGGCTCAGTAGTTGTGGCACACGGGCTTAGCTGCTCCGCAGCGTGTGGGATATTCCCAGACCAGGGCTCGAACCCGTATCTCCTGCATTGGTAGGCAGATTGCTAACCACTGCACCACCAGGGAAGTCCGAGAAGCCATTTTTGGTCAAAGCCATTTCGTGATCTAAGCCTGGCCACCGTGTTTGCCCTTGAACAGGTCACAGTAATTAATGGTCTTAAGGGAACAGAAGAATGCAGAGACAAAGAACTGTTATCAGGCAAGAGAATTAACAATAGTAAAGATAATATATCAGTTGTAAAGACTGCCAGTTCTGTTTCAATGGTAAAGATTAGCCTGAGGTGCTCAACCACCGAATCAATGGCACCTAAGGGGTGATGATGACATTTTGTGACTTCTATCCACTAAAGCTTGGACTCTGTCTGCTGCCCAGCCCCCGGAGAGAACTCCTCAGCCTTTGCAGGAGTGTTAAAAAGGCATGCAAGAAGGATCCCTGGTGGTCCGGTGGTTAAGGCTCCACGCTTCCAATGCAGGGGGCACGGGTTCAATCCCTGGTCGGGAAACTAAGATCCCATGCGCCATGCGGCAAAAGAAATTAATTAATTAATTTTTAAAAAAAGAAAGGCATGCAAGAGCAGGCAGCAGCAGGCTGGGCACCATCTGAGGGGGCTGTTCTGGATCACATTTCGTTGCCAGGGTGGGTCCAAGAACAGGAATGAGCCTTGGTTAGGAATGGCCAAGAGAATGGGACAACCGTTTTGAAATGCAATACGGTATTAGGGCGAAAGTGTTGTCAGGGTTAAATCTCTCTGCACGGCTGCTTTCGTTTAAGCAGATCAAAATGACCTTGGAGGGGTTTCCCTGGTGGCACAGTGGTTGAGAGTCCGCCTGCCAGTGCAGGGGATACGGGTTCGTGCCCCGGTCCGGGAGGATCCCACGTGCCGCGGAGCGGCTGGGCCCGTGAGCCATGGCCGCTGAGCCTGCGCGTCCAGAGCCTGTGCTCCGCAGCGGGAGAGGCCACAACAGTGAAAGGCCCGCGTACCGAAGGAAAAAAGAAAAAAAAATGACCTTGGACAAGCAGAGGCCAAGGAGCCTTAAGTCTGTGGCTCCTGCCCCACATCTGATAATAGGAAACAGTGAATGCCTGTAGTAAATGAGGCAATGGGGAAAAAAATCAGAAATAAGAAAAAGCAGTGGCATTTGAAATTTACCTTTGAATGAGCAGTGTCACCTATGAAAATTGGATGCAAAGAATTTCCAGGTGTGCGTGTAGCTTTCCAAAGACTCCTCGTGGCAAGTGTAGCCTTGTGGAAAACATCAAGTGAGGTTACTGGGTGTGGTTTTTCCAAAACTGTCACTGAAGAGTGGTAGAATACGTCACCCCAAAATATGCCTCTTAGGCGCAAGGATTATTTTGAGAAAAAGCACACAGAGGAGAAACTCTAGAAGCAGAGCCGCAATTACCCTTTGGTAAGAGAAATTTACATTGATAGAGGAAATCTCCATTTGTAGTGGTGTCTCCCTCTCTGTGCCAGGAAAAGAAGGGTGGCTCTAAATCCTGACAATCTTATCAATGGAGAAGGTGTTGACAGAAATCTTCATAACCTTACTCTTGTTTATCACAATGCTTTTCCTTTCTCCTTTTTTTTTTTTTTTTTTTTTATCTTTTGGCCATGGCACGTGGCAAGTGGGATCTTAGTTCTCCGATCATGGACCGAACCCACGACCCCTGCATTGGCAGCGTGGAGTCTTAACCACTGGACCACCAGGGACGTCCCCAACGCCTCTCTTTTGTCTTAAGCTGAAGATGGTATCTAAGTCTGAATTCTAAGCCACCTCTTTGAGTTACTCGCTTTTCCCCTGGTTATTCCCCATGTATACATGAGGTAAACATGTGAATAAACATGCTTGTTTTTCTCTTGTTAATGTGTCTTTTGCTACAGAGTTCCCAGTAGAGAACTTAGAAGAGTAGAGGGAAAATTACTCTTCCCTGCTCTACATCACCAAGACCTAAAATGGCCCATAACAGCATCCAAGGCCCTCACTTCATCTGACCTGCATTTTCTCTGGAGCTCTACTATGTCCACAAAGAGGAGTCTGGGTGAGAAGGGGCAAGACCAGACATCAACGGAAAATAATTCAAGATAACTGCCTCTGACCTCCAGGGAGAGGAAACCTACAAGGGGTCAGCTCCTGAAAAATGTTTCTGAGGGCTGGTCTTTGGGGGCTGGCTCACAACTTTCTTCTTGCGCTCTGGTCCCCCTCCCACCTCCGGGACCCTCATCTTCCAACAGACAAGAGTCTGGGGGCTTCAGATTATGGGTCTGCCCAATGCCTCTCACTGCAGCATTGCACCCCTGAGGACTCCACACTCTAATGCACTCTCGTTACTTCTCTCTCCATGAAAACCCCGCTGCCGGGAGTGTGTTCATTTAATCACGCTGCTCTCCAACCACTCACCCTCCAGTCGGCTACTGTTCCTTGGCCCCAGTTCTGTTCATAACTTTGCGTTCCTGGGAAGCGTCTGCTTGTCTTCAAGATAGATTTGTATTTCGGTGACTCTCAAATTCTATTAGACACAAGCATCGCTTGGAGAGCTTGTTAAAATACAGAATCTGGGGCGGATTCAGAAAATCTATAGTCTTTTCTAAATTTTTATTTTATTTAATTTATTTGGCTGCCTTGGGTCTCAGTTGCGGCAAACGGGCTCCAGAACGTGCGGGCTCAGTAGTTGCAGCGCAGGTTTAGTTGCCCCGCGGCATGTGGGATCTTCGTTCCCCGACCAGGGATTGAACCTGTGTCCCCTTCATTGGAAGGCAGATTCTTAACCACTGGACCGCCAGGGAAGTCCATTCATTTTTATTTTATATTGGAATATAGTTGATTAACAATCTTGTGTTAGTTTCAGGTGTACAGCAAAGGGATTCAGTTATACATATACATGTATCTATTCTTTTCCAAGTTCTTTTTCCATTTAGGTTATTACAGAATACTGAGCAGAGTTCCCTGTGCTATAGAAAATCTATAGTCTTGATAATAAGCTCTAGGTTATGATGAGACTTGAACTCCGAGGAACCATGCCCTAACTGGGATGATTTCAGACCAGACTGGAAAATATTTGGCAGCCATATGAATAAAGACAAAGGAAGAGAAGCCTAATAGTGACTTCCCGATCCTTAGTCATGCCTTCAACACAGGAGGGCCAAAGAGTGGATGTGCGAAGGAACAGAAAACTGCAAGGCTCTCATTTCCTGGAACGCATCCCTTGTGGGTCTGTTCTGTGCTTCCCACCCTGGCTCCACCCCTATGTTGCAGGAAGGGGGACCCCTTCCAGGGCCCGAGAGTGGGCTCTTGTCTAACGCTTGGAAATGAATTGTCCGAGGAGACACACGTGCTGACAAAGCAAGAGACTTTTTTTTTTAAACCTATTTTTTAAAATAAATTTATTTATTTTTGGCTGTGTTGGGTCTTCATTGCTGTGAGCGGGCTTTCTTTAGTTGCGGCGAGAGGGGGCTACTCTTTGTTGCAGTGTGTGGGCTTCTCATTGTGGTGGCTTCTCTTGCTGCGGAGCCTGGGCTCTAGGCGTGCGGGCTTCAGTAGTTGTGGCATGCGGGCTCAGTAGTTGTGGCTCGCGGGCTCTAGAGCACAGGCTCAGTAGTTGTGGTGCCCGGGCTTAATTGCTCCGTGGCATGTGGGATCTTCCCGGACCAGGGATCAAACCCATGTCCCCTACACTGGCAGGCAGATTCTTAAACACTGCACCACCAGGGAAGCCCAAAGCAAGAGACTTTAATGGGAAGGGGCGCCCGGATGGAGAGCCAGCGGGGTAAGGGAACCCGGGAGAACTGCTCTGCCACGTGGCTCGCAGTCTCAGGTTTTATGGTGATGGGGTTAGTCTCCCAGTTGGCTGTGGCCAATCACTCTGACGCAGGGTCCTTCCTGGTGGCTCGCGCATGGCTCAGCCAAGATGAATTACAGCAAGAATGATTCTGGGAGGTTGGTAGGACGTATGGACTGGCGTCTGCTCTCTCCTTTTGACCTTTCCCAAATCCTTCCAGTTGGTGGTAGCTTGTTAGTTCCACGTTCCTTACCAGGACCTCCTGTTATAAGAGAACTCATGCAAGTGATTACTATCTTGCCTGGTCAGGGCAGGTGGCTTCGGCCAGTGGTTCCCCTAATACGCTCATCCTCCAATGGCCCTCATTCCCCAAAAAGCAGGGAAGCTGCCCACCTGGCTGCGACGACACAGAATCCTTCACTGGCCATCCGCGCCAGTTGTGTTTTTCCACCTTCCTCTCCTCATAGGTGACTTGAATAATTCTTGGTTTGACCTTGGTTCTCAAGGGCAGTGTGCATCATTAATCATATTTGGCAGTGGGGAGAGGGGATTTTTACAAACAGCCACTTAGGCTTCTTCTTGGCTAGAGACTCAAATTCCATAGCCCAGAATGGAACCGAGAAATCTGCTTTTTAAACAAACACAACAACTGACCCTGGAGCTGTGCGCTGAAGTTTGGGAAAGCCTAAGGACCAGCTTGTTTCCATTTTTGTGAGTTGCTTTCTCCCTACACAGACTGGCAGTGGAGGAAGACGAGACTGGGACCGGAAGGTCCCAAATCACTGGTCACTCCAGCCAAGGGTTCTCAGATCCGTGGTTTCATGGAACCTCTGCAGCAATCAACAGGGGAAGAGGGGCAGGGATTATCACCTCATTTTACAGATGAGCAAGTTCTGTGCGCTTTGGACAACTCTGTTGCCCTTTCCAGCTCTAAAACTCTATGATTTCATGGCAGGAGATCAAAACACCGGGCCTAAGCTTTACGTCCATCACTTGTGACCTTAAGTAGGCTCTCTTCCCAACTTGGCCTCCAGTTCCCGCATGAGGATAATAAAACCAGGCATCATCTCAGGGGGCTTCTCTGAGGGCTCTCCCAAAACAGGTTAATCACGGGGGCTTAACTTTGTTGTAAATTGGGTTTGATTATGACCCTAGTCTTTTGTCACCCAAACTCAGTCTTCATACTTGATTGTTTGCACTGCAGAATCAGATCTTCCCATCTCAATTTAAGAAGGAAGGAAGGAAGGGAGGGAGGAAGGGAGGGAGGGAGGGAGGGAGGGAGAAGGCTCTCAGAGGAAATCCATCATTGGATTTAAATTTGAGGGACTGCACCAGAATGCCAGTGGATGGGTTAATGTGGCAGAGTGGGTATGAGGACAAACTGTAAAGCTAAAGGAAAATGACTACAGGTTGTGTGGTGTGAGTGACAGCAAGAATGAAGGCTGCTGTATCCAAGGGCTGAAGTACAGATTGTTTATGGCCAGTCCCCACTTTAGCAAAACCACAACTGCTATTAAGACACTCAGATGCACCATCAGTGGTTCTGAACTTTGTGGGATGATTTGAACTCTGCCTTATCATCGGAGGGAAAGCAAACAGCACGTCTACCAAAGGGGCTGAAATTTCAGCTGCTGCCAGGCGTCCCGGAGCTCCATCACAGTCCCAGAATAGCGCAGCTCGGTTCCCAGCAGCCTCGGGCTGCACCGCAGCAGCTGGGCTTCCGGCAACGGAGCTGGAGTCGAGCCTCAAGCAGCGGCCGGAACAGCTGGGACCGAACTCCACCCAGATGCCAGCTGGCTGGCACTGCCCTGCTGGAGGTGCCATCTCTGGTCAGTGCAGGCAATTCTGGTCTCCCGTGGCACCCTGACTCTCCCCCTGTCCCCTTGGGGTCCTGGCTGAGTTTGAGAGGACCCTCAGGGTGCCCTCAAATCCCAGGCGAAGGGGTGGGGGCAGAGACCGTGTCTTTTGAAGGCTTTGGGTGATCTAGGCTGGTGGCTGGCGAGGCTGATGAAGGGCAGAGCCGTCCTGAAGGTGGGCAGGCTGCACTGTGCACAGAGAGGACGTGACCACAGCGGGCTGGCGGCCACCAGGAGAACAGCGTTGAAGAAGGGAGAAAGGGCAGAGAGGGAGACACACAGCCCAGCCACAGGCCAGGCAGTTGCCCAGTGCAGCGCTGTCGTGAGGCTGGCTTCTGAAGGCGATGGGATTGTTGGGAGAAGGGAGAGTGGCTGAGAAGGAAGGCTGCAGACTAGACAGCTGGTCAGCTCTGTTTCCAAAGTCCTTCTCCTGTACTGGCCCATGCAGAGCCTTCATCTATTTATTCCCTCGCAATTTTTTTTTTTTGGCTGCACTGCACGCCATGCGAGATCTTCCTCGACTAGGGATAGAAAGTGTGACCCCTGCATGGAAGTGTGGACCGCCAGGGAAGTCCCCCTGGCAAATACTGATCGAGGCCCTGTCACGGGCGAGGATGGATCAGGCACACATCTTTCCCTCAAAGAGCTTACACCCTGGTTGAAGACATGAGACATGTACATAAACAAACATTCGTAGAGCAGAAAATGAGCTACATAAGAGATACGAAAGCGCTTTGGGACATAGAACAGCGAAGTTAAAACCAGTCCAGCAGAGTTAAAACCAGTGGGTTCTAATCCAGGGCTAGTCCCTTAGCCTTTATGAACCTCAGTTTTTTGGGTTTTGGGTTTTTTTTTTTGCGGTACGCGGGCCTCTCACTGTTGTGGCCTCTCCTGTTGCGGACCACAGGCTCCGGACGCGCAGGCTCAGCGGCCATGGCTCATGGGCCCAGCCGCTCCGCGGCATGTGGGATCTTCCCGGACCGGGGCACGAACCCGCGTCCCCTGCATCGGCAGGCGGACTCTCAACCACTGCGCCACCAGGGAAGCCCGAACCTCAGTTTGAAATTGAACTCCTAGGGTTGTCAAGATCAAATATATATAAAAGACACGGAAAGTTGTACAGTGCTACACAGAGGTATAAACTATTATGGGTGTTGTTGCATTATTAGATCAGCCAGTGTTTGTGTGTCTCTGAGCTTCTTGGCCTGGGATTCTGGGAGGCAGGGATCTGAGTGTGGAGCTCAGGACAGCAGCCAGGCCAAGCCTAGACCCGGAGCCCACCCCTTCCCCCTAGAAAAGGCTGACGGCATCCCTCAGGTCTTGGCCCATCATCCCACCCATTTTATTATAGGTACAGAGCAGTATCCTGGGGGCTGCAGGGAAGGCTAGGCATGAAGTCTGCTCCCCACTGAGCCTATCATGGAATTACAGAGGCCTGATATCTATGTATAAAATATAATTAACTGTGCAAAGTAGCACAAGATTGGCAAATTCATGCTAGAGGGGAAGCTTTGGGAGGGCAGAGGGAGGAGTTGTATGGGGCGGGGTCACCAGCAAAGTCTTCTGGGAGAAGCAGAGGCTTTAAAGGGGGAACGGTTTAGAGAGGCCAGGAAGGGGCGCCCTGGATTGAGAGTGGGGGACATTGTGAGTGAAGCCACAGGAAGGTCAGTCCGGTGGCCAGACCCAGAGCTGACCTCTCAGGCTGCAGTGGCCGTTTCCTGTGGGGAAGAGGAGGGAGAGGAGGTGGCCAGTCCAGGTTGAATGCAGGCTGCAGGGGCCTTAAATGCTGGGCAAGGGAGTTAGATCTTTCACTCAGAGGGAGTGGGAACCAGTGACGATCTTAGGAGCCGAGAATGCCAGGGGGAAGTCAGTGAATGTCCCACAGCAGAGGGGGTTTGCAGGTGACTGGAGGTGTCAGGGAACGGAAGGAAGACTGCAAGCAGGGTGATTAGGTTGTGTGTGTGTGTAACCCCAGTGGGAGGGTGCGCCTGCCCTGAAATGTTCTCACAAGGGGGGCGTGGGGGTGTGTGAGGGGAGACTCTTCCTCAAGGAAGGGAAGGGGGACTAAACACTGCTGTGTACACATTTCTTTTCTGTTTTTGGAAGGGGAGGGTTGAGGGGCCTGAATCCCTGGACTCTGGTTCCTAGATTCACTCAGTCTATTGACGGAGGTTCTCCAGACCTGGGCAGCTCAGAAAATGCAGCTCTCTCCTTCTAACAGGGAGCTGGTTAGTGGCCACTGAGCCATGGGCAGGGAAGGGGGGAGAGGGAGAGGCAGATTTTGTGGTCACCATGGACGGGCTCAGCGTCAGGTGACATTCCGGCAGGTTCTGCCCTAGGCACGCTTCCGGGTTCCCTCCCAGAGGGGTCATCCATGGGCAGCGAGTTGTGGTGAATGGGTGTTTATCTCACCTGCTCCCTGGCCCCTGGCTTCCTGCTTCTTAAGGGGCCACCTTGGTACCTGGGTCCTCTCAAAATGCCAGGTGGTATCAGGCTGCTCCAAGCCGGCAGTTCTAGGAACTGAAGAGAAGAGGAAACTTAGCCAGACACCACAGCCTGGGCAGGAACCAGTTAATGCGGAGCCTGGGAGCAAGGAGAGGTCAAATGCAAAATCTGTTTACCAGCTGGTTTGGGGACACCCAGCTGCCGAGTGCAAGATTCCAGGCACCTACCTGTCAGGGGGCCAAGAGCCTCACCCTCAGCTCAGCGAGGGACTACGTCTGCTCCACGGGGGCCAGGGGGCCAGGCAGCAAGACCAGGGGCACTCAACCCTCCAGGGAGGGAGAGCCGGCCTCCCGTTCCCCGGAGGAGGAAATGGCTCCTGAAAGAGATCCTGCACACTGAACCGGCAATCCAGGACCCCTGCTACCCAGGCAATAGGGAAGCCCCTCTAGGGAGCAGAACTGACCTCGAGCACCCCCGGGGCCAGCTCACCTGCTCCTCCAGTGCCCCAAGTTGGGTTGCCAAGGCCCCTACCCTGCATTCTAATGCAGGGCGTTGCCGGCCCGGGGGAGGTGGTGTCTCCAGCAGGTACTGGGCTTGCCTGCTTCCCAGGAAGCCCTGTGGCCAGTGGGCAAGGCAGGTATGGCCCTGTTTGCATGGTGTTTGCAGTGGCCCACCCCAGGGTGATGGGGAAGGTCAGCAGGGGGCTGCCCTCCAGGGGCCATGTCTCAACTCTTGCTGCTAGGGTTCAAACCATAGAATACATGGATCTACCGAGTGTCAGGTTCGGTGCCAGATACCGGGAACAACAAAACGAGTGAGACGTGTCCCTGCTATTGAGAGGACAAGAACTGAGAAGGCTAAGATACACCGAGATAAATGATAAATAAACAAATGCATACTAGGCTGTGGGTAAACAGGGCAGCTCACAACGGTTCATTCTGGGGGAGGTGAGGAAAGCATGGCAGAGAAAGGGACATTGGAGCTGAGCTTTGAGGCAGGGCAGGTTTTAAAAACCTTTGGTCAGACAGGGAAAGGGGGTTGGGGGAGGAAAGGAATAGCATAGGAGAAGCCCAGAGCATGGCACAGCGAGGCTGCTACTGCAAGAGTTTGGATTAAACACTGCTAGAACTTTTTTTTTTGGCCACAATGCATGGCTTGCAGGACCTTAGTTCCCTGACCAGGGATTGAACCCGCGTCCCTGGCAGTGGAAGTGTGGAGTCCTAACCTCCGGACCACCAGGGAATTCCCACTGCTAGGCCTTTTTAACTGTCAGGGGACTAAGGCTCAGAGGGGATGGACCAGGAAAGGAGAGGTTGATCACTGAGCATCTGAGTGTCAAGCTTGTGCGAGGCCCATTTTAGACATGGCTTCGTTGCAAGGATTGGGGGTGGTGCTATCCTGACCTCTTTATCGTAGAGGAAAGTGGAGCTCAGAGCAGTGAAGTGACTTGTCCAGGCCATACAACCGGCAAGTGGCAAAGCTGCACCCCACCCTGGGCCTTGTCACTGGCTTAGACTCATGCGGCTCAAAAAGGAATTGTTCCAATGAATAAAGGTAGTTTCGATCAGCCGGCGGCGAACAGGAACTCACACACCGTGCTGGGAAGGAGGAGTACAGACGCTGTCCACACAATCCATTAATCCAAGATCTATCTGAACAGTGGGAAGGCAGTGTCCCTGTGGGACCGCTTCTCAAAGTGTTACCTTTTGGGGAAGATGGGAGTTCATAAAGGCTTACGTGCCTATGTATTATTACATTGGGCGAAGGGTACCTGGGGGCACAGATGAGTCCGCGGTTGGAGTCTTTGACGCAATGGCGCCTCCCACCAAACTTCTCTCCCGGACACGTGGCCGTGTCCATCGGGACCCACAGCCATCCAGCTCACAGGGCTGAGGGTGAGGTTCTCAGGATCTCCACCCTCCAGTGTTCCTGCTATTGACAGGCCCTGGGGGATTAAAGCCAAGGGCACCAGGGATCCTGGAGCCTCAGAAGCCCCAGGTCGTCTGCCCCGAGGGCCTTCCTTTGTCCTGAAGGCATATCCTGTTCCAGAGTGAGATGGGGCGGAAAGGGGCAGAGCAAACCGTTCTCAGAAAACGGCCCTACATTTCCACTGCCATCACGGCACAGGGCTGGCTAGGGGCGGAGCTCATTCACTGAGGTGTCCAGGCCTGTTTCCAGATCACCGCCAGTGGGTGGCCAGGCACTGGATACCCCAACCTGGCCCCTGCCTGGGCCCGGAGGGAGGGGTGAGACTTGCCTAATGGGAGAAGTCTCTGGAGGGTGAAGGGGTTCTCCACGGATGGAGACAGATCCCGAATTCACCTGTGTCTCCCTGAGGTCACTTGTATCCTGGTCTCCCCACCCCTTTCCCAGGCTCCTAGATCTGGCTTTAAACATATGCTAATGAGGGACCCCTCCCAGCAAACTTGTTTCAGCGTTGGTTGCCCAGCTGATGAAAACTAGTCAGAGGTTAGAGTGACTGATCTGTTTCGGGAAGGTCTGACCTGCTGCTCCCCCTTTCAGGGTGGGTCCCCCACTGCCTGGCCCTTACACAGGTCTGCACGTGCTCACGTCCGGTGTGTGTGTGTGCAGGGTCGTCCCTGAGATGCAGGAGGTGGAGTTATTAGGGGAAGGAGACCAAAGGCACAGCAATGCACTCTTCCTCTCAACATTGAAAAGAATTGAAACAATTCAGTCCTCACATTTTCCAGGCCAGCCAGAGGGCCAGGCGCAGGAAGAGATATAGGGTTCTAGAAAAGCAGGGCCTCACCGCCAGCCCAGGCTGCTAAGCAAACAATCCCTCCAGGAGTCCGAAAACTGGTGTGCGAGGGGAGGAGCCAGCGTGGGGTTTATCGCTCCGGCAGCTCCGGGTGATTCAGGGAGTTTGACTTCTGGTTGTCATAGATGGAAGCACGCAAACAAACAGCCCGGGAGGTCCCCTCCCCTCTGCCTGCGCCCTCCCCCACCTTGCTACCCCCAGCCCGAGACCAGCCGCCTCCCCCCACGATTCCCGCCCTCCTCCCGGGCGCTCCGGGCAGAACCAACACGCCCAGCCGCCCGCCCGGCCAACGGCTGACTCCGACCGCGCGCCGCTGGCGATCCCCCAGGCAACTCGGCGTCACGAGAACCAGCACCCCGGAGACCCGGCGCCCGGCCCTGCCTCCGCGGCCCCTGGGCCCCGGCCAGGCGCAACAAGCACTCCCTTCTCGGTGCGCCGCGGCCCCTCCGGGCCTCCGGCGCTTGCCAACTAGGCCCCGCTGCGTAGCCCACCTCCCGCGGAGCCCGCAGCCCTGGGAGAAGGCAGCGGGAAAATCTCTTGTTTACTGGGCCGGGGTGATCCTAGGTTGGATTCGCTTCCCCATTTCTGCAGTTCCCCTTCTGCTGATTCCTGGGACCGGAGAGGAAAGGGGGGAAACCCGCTGACGCACCCCGGGATAGGGAGTGAGGTTGGGGTACGGGGAGGGGGGGACTCGAACTCGTGCAAAAGTCCCCGGGCGGCGGCAGGGGCAGGACTCGGTGGCCAGGCCGATGTGTCACGGAGCGCAGAGACCGCGGGGGCCTGGTTAAACACTGTACCTCGGGGAACTGAACCGTGAAGGCTAATTAGGACAGGTCCGAACAGGGAACGGGGACACGGGGAGGGGAGCGCGCGCTAAGGTGGACCGTGTCCCGGGCGATCGCAGGAAACCCAGGCGCCGGGTAGTCGGACCCAGGGCGACTTCTGCCCACGGTCCCGAGTGGTTCTGGGCCCGGCCCACGGCGTTAGGGGCGCGCGCGGTGGCGTTCCCACGCACACTTGGTGAGCCGGGTGCCGGGGAAGGATCGCGCGTGCAAGAGGTGGACGCTCGGTGTGTGGTGTGTCCACGTGTGCAAGCTCGGGGAGGGCAGGGGGCTCAGAAGGCACGACAAAGACAGACTTTGTATCTGAGTGTGCGCCTCGCTCTAGTCCGGAGCGGCGAACTGTGCCCCGCGTGTGTCTCACGGGAGAGCTAGGACGAAGGTGACAAAGACTAGGTGTCCGTCCCGGAGAGACGCACCAAGGGGGCCCCCGCGCGTGTTTGTGTGCGCGCGCGCTGGGACTTGCGGAGAGGGAGAGCCCGCCCGCGAATTGTGTTGGCCTGCACCCCAAACCGCTTTCCGGAGAGAAAACCGAGTCCCGAAAGTAAGTGCGCGTGAGTGTGCGCGCGCCCGCGTGCGGGGGCGTGGCAGTAAACAGCAGCAACCCACAAGCCGGCTTGGCCAGAAACTCCGATCTCCCTCCCCTGCCGGAAAGTGCGTCTAGTCTGAGCCTGGAGGTGAGTCGGGGATGGGGGGGGGAGGGCCGGCCGGGCTTTGTTACTGTGTAAGCGGATTGCACGTACCTGGAGCGCCGCGGGCGCCCGATAAGCTCCTCAATGGAGGTGATGTCACGGTGATGCAGGCGCCGGCCCACCCTCGCTGCGAGAAAGGAGCCGAGCGCGGGCAGAGGCCAGCGCGAGGGCGAGAGACGGAGCGCAGCCAGCTCCGAGTCCCGGGGAGAGGCAGGCCCTGCGCCCCGATCCCCCGCCTGAGCCCCGCCACCTCAGACCAGGGTTGGGCCTGGCCCCGCTCTCTGCGCCGAGTCCCTCCCACCCCCTCTCGCGCCCCGCCTGGACTTGGCCCCAGACGCCGCGCCGGAGCTGGGCCGGCGACGCGTCCCAGGTAAGGGCTGCAGCCTGCTCGCTCCGCCCTCCCCTCGGCCGCCGGGAAGAGTGGGGTCGGGCTGGTGGGGAGTGGGCGAGGGTTGAGGCCCAGTGGTGGCGAACCGGGGGGCGGAGGACACCGCTCCTACTTCGCTCGCTCGCAGAAACTTTCCAAAGCGGAGCACGCTGGGGACTGGGGGTGTGGGAAGCCCGGCGCTGCGGCTCGGAGTTGGCGGCTCGGGAGAACTCCACGATCGGGGTCTCCAAGGACTACCCCCTCCTCCCTCGCAGCCTCTCTGCGTGACTCCGCGGCCAGTAGTGACTGGGGGGCCGGCGTCCTCCCCGCGGCCCGCTACCGTGGATGGGGAGGGCAGGTTTCTGGGACCTGAGGAAATGGGAGAGAGGCTGGCCCCCTGCTCTTTATGTTCCGCCATCCAGGGGAGCGTGGGTGTGGACCCCGGTCCCGGCGAGAGGTTTAGGGAGGGGAGGGCTCAATCTTCCTGCGGGAAGTTCGGAACTTCGGTCAGTCGTAGGCCCTCTACCTTTGGCGGCGTGGCTTCTAGATCCCTTCCCTTTCCCCGCTCCTCCCTCACGCCTCACGGGGTTTCCTGCGCCCTTCCCAGCCGCGGAGGTGGAGTTGCGCCTCTCCAGCCCCAGACCCACAGTTTTAAACCCAGCAAAACGCAGTCATTGAAAAAACCCCACGCTCTTGATCCTAAAGCTCAGGGACCCGAATATGTTGAAATAGGGTTTTGTGCTCTTGGAGGTTCCCTGCCTGGGCCTTTATCTGTGGCTGGGGGAGGGCGTGCCGCTGGGGGGTGGGGCGCATTCCGGAGTGGCTTTCCAGAGCGGACCCTTGGGTTGAGGACTCACGTGTTTCAGAATGTTCAGGGAATTGGGAGCCAAATACCCGCCCTCGGTGTGAAGGTCTAAGTCTGGGGTTCCTGGAAGCCCTCTACCCCACCCCCAATCCCACCCCCCAACTTGGGCACTGAAGTAGCCCCGTACAGGTACAGGCATCTCCGATCCCTCTTCTTATTGGTTGGTTTAAACACCAGAGCCCCCTGAACAGAGGGGTAAGACGGCAGGACCTAACCAGGGGCGAAGAGGAAGGAGGAGATGGATGGTAGAAGGGGAGGATGCGGGAAGGCTGCCAGTGGGTCCATCCGTCTCTCTTTATGGGCTGCTGAGTGGCGGCAGACCCGGCAGGAAGGAGGCTCCTCTGTGGCTCTGCTTAGGTGCCTCAGAGAGGAGCCTCTACATGGTCATGGCACACTTGAAGGTACCTGGCTGTGGGTCTATATCTTACTCTGTCCCTTTGAGCCCAGGAGACAGACCAAGGCCGCACTGTGAAGCTCGTGTTGCCCTTTTCAGGATGGTTCTCAGGCTTTGGTGTAGATGGTCGGGGAGTGAGGAAAGGTGAGAAGGCCTGGCTGCCTCATCCTTGCTGGGTGAAGCCCATTCAGGGCTGGCTGGGCCTCTGAGCCACCACTCTGCTGAGGTCTCTCTGCCTCCCCTGGGAGAGGGAAAGAGGGAGGAAGGGGATTCTGGAACTGGATTGGGCTGACTCAAACCTGAGCTGGGGACTGAGTGGCTGAGCCTGGGGAAAGGCCGATTTCAGAGGTGATTAAAAATACTTGTATAACTGATTCCAGGGAGGTGAAGCAAAAGGGCCCCTTTGTCCAGAAAATAATCTGCAGCTCGGCTGGGCTGCAGCCATGGTGTGGGGGGAACTCATGGGACTGAAGGAGGTCCCCCTCCTTGGTCCTACTGAGAACCTTTTTTAAAAAAAAATATTTATTTGGCTGTGCCAGGTCTTAGTTGAGGCATGCGGGATCTTTAGTTGCAGCACGCGGACTCTTAGTTGTGGCATGTGGGATCTAGTTCCCTGACCCTGGATCGAACCTGGGCCCCCTGCATTGGGAGCTCGGAGTCTTAACCACTAGACCACCAGGGAAGTCTCCCCTACTGAGAACCTTAAAGCAGGAGACGTGACTCTAAAATGAAGAGGCCGGACTGGGATGGGGAGAAATGGGCACCAAATCCGTTCAGTGAATGCTTTTCAAATGCCTACTATGTTCAGTGCAAGACTAGATGTTGCAGGGGATGCTAAGAAAAACAAGTCTTGTTCACTCCCCTCAGACCTTACAGCCAGGTAGGGGAGACGCCTACGCACACAATTCTAACGATCGAGGCTCAAAAAGCCTGGAAGTGCAGGCTCTAGGGACCCGGAGGAGGGAGAGTCTCAAGGCAGAGCTGGTCTGTTTCATCCAAGTCCTTTCCCCCTTGGCCGCCGTCTTCAAACACAGCATCCCTTGGCTGGCTGAATCTGCATTCCTGGATGTTGAAGGACACTGGGCTGAGCTTTCTTTAAGTCTCCTGCTGGCCTCCAAGGGTCGCTGTCCCAGGCAGTGGACAAGAACCAGGCCCAATGGGTCCAATTTTCCCACTTGAGTTGGTGTCTGCCTGTCTCTCCACTCCCCTACTTTGAAGTTTCCATGTTGGTGGGACCGACAGGCTTGAAGGGTAAGGTCCAGGGCCAACAGCAAAGTGAGAAGGAAATTGGGGTGAGGGCTGTGAAGCTTCTCTGGCCCTGGCCCAAGTTCTTATGAGGTGTTGGATTCTCGCAAGGTACAAGCAGGTATGGCTCTAAGAGCAAGATAGACCAAGAAGAGGGATTGACATAGTGGTCGCAGGCTACGGGCTTGGTGCTTTGTAATGACATGGCCGTTATAAGATTTGAACTTGTAGCGTGGACTTAGCATCCTTTTCCCCACATCCAGACAGGCCTTAGACTTTATCTGGGAAAGGATCTCCATTAGGCCTTACCTTTGGCCTTGGTCTTTAGCCGGGGAAGAATGTGTCCTCAACAAATCGATTGCCTATGCTTTTTTTGCCAGACTTAAATCTTAAAGCACAACGCTGGTTATGCCCTCATCATTTAAAAAACAGCCTTCAGTGGTTCCCCACTGCCTTTATTTATGTTTTTTTTTAACATCTTTATTGGAATATAATTGCTTTACAATGATGTGTTAGTTTCTGCTTTATAACAAAGTGAATCAGTTATACATATACATACATATGTTCCCATATCTCTTCCCTCTTGCGTCTCCCTCCCTCCCGCCCTCCCTACCCACTACCTTTAGAATCAAGCCCTAAACTCCTTCCCTGTAGTGTCTCTAATCTGTAGCCAGCCAGCTGCAACCTCCCTTTACAGACTCAGTTCATACTTGGTGAATTTGATTAGAAACTGAATAAAATGCTGTTGGGAGGTGTTCTTCACTCTGTCTTTTCTGACCCCCTCAGCTGGGAAGAGCTTCCTCCTCTGTGTTCCTGTAGCACTTTTCTCTCCCCAGAGGTAAATTCTTTTGTGTGACACTTACCTTATTCTTCTTTGGGTAGTTTTCTTGTAGACCTACCTTTTGGACTGTGTTTGTTCATCTTTGTATTTTCCACTGTGCGTCTAGGGAAACTACTGGGCCTGGTCCCCCTAGACGCACGGTAAATATTTGCTGATTTGGAATATTTGTCTGTTCTGACCTAGGACCCGGCGGAGGGAGATGGGATGAGCAGCTCTTGAAGATGTGCAGATTGCCCGAGGCTAAGTCTGAGTGACCATTCTCAGGGTTCATACCACATCTCCAACTTCACCCCAAGGTCTAGCTGTTTTGCTGTGAGCCAGAAATACTCATGAGGGGGTTAAGTGCTTAGGATCCCATAGCACGTTATCCATTAATTATCTCCTGGAGTGGTTCAATATTCCTTATCCATTAGCCCTCTCCGATTCCTCTTTTCCCTTCCCAGCCCTTGTAAATAAAGTACAGTTTGTGCTTTATTGATTTACTGTTACACAAAGTCCCCTACAAGAGCTTATTTAAATCATGATGTAGGGGAAACATGCTTTTGCATTGGAAGTCGAGAGAAACTAGCTGCGTTACAGTACCATTTATTTAGGAAAACAGTAACAAATTCACACAGGAACGTTAATTTATTAAAAGTTAATGGTAGGGCTTCCCTGGTGGCGCAGTGGTTGAGAGTCCGCCTGCCGATGCAGGGGACACGGGTTCGTGCCCCTGTCCGGGAAGATCCCACATGCCACGGAGCCTGCACATCCGGAGCCTGTGCTCCGCAGCGGGAGAGGCCACAGCAGTGAGAGGCCCGGGTACCGCAAAAAAAAAAAAAAAAAAAAAGTTAATGGTAGGTGTTGTTTGGGGAAAAGCAAGCTTAATTGGCAGACGAGGTTGTAGTTGGGAAGGCTGAGAGACCTAAAATGCTTTCAAGGAGCATATGTAGAGGTTATCTTACAGGACTTTGAAAGTTGTTGATCTTTATTCTGTCAGTTTCACTTAATTTTGAGTTTTATTTCCTCTGACTCAGTAGCAGTGTCCTTCCCTTTCTCAATCATGGAGAGACAGTTCTGTTTGCCTGTTATATATTAACTAACCAGGAATGGTGAAAACATTAAGGGCTTAGCGGTGTGCAAATATACACTCCACCTCCTAAAGGGAGGAAAGAGACGTGGTGGGGAAGTTGGATCATGCCATTCCCCTCCCAGCCACTAGTGGTCACTATCAGCCCAGGAAAGCTTGGTTGCTGTCTTTCTGGAAAGTTCCTGGGTCCAAGAGGTGAGAGAGGAAGAGGCGGGGTTACACCTAGTTACTTGAACATAATAAGGGGTGATTTAAATGTGGAGTCCCTGCATTTCATAGAATTTTGGAATTTATGACTTGCTTTTTAGAGCATTTAAATTTTCTGTCCTCCAGGTAAATTTAAAGTCTTTGAGTAGAAAACTCACTGATTTGGTCTTTAATTTCTCTTAACCTGCCACACTCTTCACCTCTACTTCACACAGGGAAAATCCAGCTGGTACTGAAAGCAGGGGTTTGGTTTTCTTTGGTGCCAGTCTACAGCATTTAGTAAGGCTGCTGTCTGGGACCGGTCCAGTGAGTCGTTGCAGTAGTAAGTTACCTTCCTGGTGTGAATAAAAGACATCTTTCTTGCCTTCTAGCTACAGTGCCTCAACATCTTCCATTATAGATTAATTTCTTTGTGCCTCTACACATTATAGATTAATTTCTTCCATTATAGATTAATTTCTTTGGGTTTTGCTTTGCCCTTGCCTGGTTCTCGCTTTTAAAATGTTAATGCCTCATAGGAAGATTTTTGCATTAAGTCATTAACTCCCTAGCTGGGAAATTGGTTGATTTTTTTTTTTTAAATATTTATTTATTTACTTGGTTGCTCTGAGTCTTAGTTGCAGCTTGCCGGCTCTTTAGTTGTGGCATGTGAGATCTTAGTTGCAGCTTGCATATGGGATCTAGTTTCCTGACCAGGGATTGAACCCAGGCCCCCTGCATTGGGAGCATGGAGTCTTACCCACTGTGCCACCAGGAAAGTCCCAGAAATTCGTTGATTTTGTTCTTGAGACTCTAGCAACTGAGCTTCCAAAGAACTTTGGATTCTGAGGAGAAGCATTGGCACTAAAAGCCGTAAAATGAAGGGCAGAAAAGGGCAGTGGTAGGGAGGCGTCAGGGGAAAAGTGTTGATACATACAACTTTTCAATCATCTCTTCACTTTCTCTGGTTGCAGTTTGCACCTGTTACAGGTGCTTGTTAAACCCTCACTGAATGAATGAACGCGTGGCTGATTTGCCGTAGACTTAGGCGTCACAGGGACAGAGTGGAGGGCATGGTGTCTGGCCATTTGAACTCTGGAAGTCCCAGGACAGAGAGGAACTGAGTGCTGAGTGAACTTGCTCACAAACCTCAGCCCCCAGCCCACCTGCAAGAGCTCAGGGAATATCTGGGCCTAGGTTATGATTTGGGGGAGGGGGAGGGGCCTGAAAATTCAGCACAGTTTCCTCCTTTTCCATGACTGGGAACAGGGATCACACTTGGGTTTCATCTCATTTGCCTCTCTGGTCACTTGGTACAAGGCCCAGGAGTTCTGTGTTAAGAACAATTCTGAAGCCCAGAGGCACAGACAAGATCAGTGTGCCGTGGTTCAGGATGGGGGCAACGGCACCTCATGTGTCAGAGTCTGCCCAGGAGGACTGATTTTGCCTTTTCTCCCCTCCGTCTCTAGGGACCCAGCTGGGGCCTGGCCTGGGAGCCAGGATGGCCATCCAGAAAGCGGTGCTGATATGCCTGGGACTGCCTCTCTTCCTACTCCCAGGGGCCCAGGCCCAGAACCACGCCCCAGCTGGCTGCAGCCCGGACCTCAACCCCCTCTATTACAACCTGTGTGACCGCTCTGGGGCTTGGGGCATCATCTTGGAGGCAGTGGCGGGGGCGGGCATCGTCACCACTTTTGTCCTCACCATCTTCCTCGTGGCCAGCCTCCCCTTCGTGCAGGACAACAAGAAGCGGAGCCTGCTGGGGACCCAGGTGTTCTTCCTGCTGGGGACCCTGGGCCTCTTCTGCCTCGTCTTTGCCTGCGTGGTGAAGCCTGACTTCTCCACCTGTGCCTCTCGGCGCTTCCTCTTTGGGGTCCTGTTCGCCATCTGCTTCTCCTGCCTAGTGGCCCACGTGTTAGCCCTCAACTTCCTGGTCCGGAAGAACCATGGGCCCCGGGGCTGGGTGGTCTTCATCGTGGCCCTGTTGCTGAGCCTCGTGGAGGTGATCATCAACACGGAGTGGCTGATCATCACGCTGGTGCGGGCAGGTGGCGGCGAGGGTGGCCCTCCGGCCAATGGCAGTGCCAGCTGGGCCACCGCCTCCCCCTGTGCCATCGCCAACGTGGACTTTGTCATGGCGCTGATCTACGTCATGCTGCTGCTGCTCTGCGCCTTTACGGGGGCCTGGCCCGCCCTGTGCGGCCGCTTCAAGCGCTGGCGGAAGCACGGGGTCTTCGTGCTGCTCACCACGGCCACCTCCATCGCCATCTGGGTGGTGTGGATTGTCATGTACACCTACGGCAACCAGCAGCACAACAGCCCCACGTGGGATGACCCCACGCTGGCCATCACCCTCGCCGCCAATGCCTGGGCCTTCGTGCTCTTCTATGTCATCCCTGAGGTCTCCCAGGTGACCAAGCCCAGCCCGGAGCAGAGCTACCAGGGGGACCTGTACCCCACCCGGGGCGTGGGCTACGAGACCATCCTGAAAGAGCAGAAGGGCCAGAGCATGTTTGTGGAAAACAAGGCGTTTTCCATGGACGAGCCAGCCTCAGGTGGGTCATGGGACATCCTCCCCAGGTGCCCTTTTCTTTTATTTTTTTAGTTTTTAAAAATTTTTGGCCACACCATGCAGCCTGTGGGACCTTAGTTCCCCAGCCAGCGATTGAACCTGGGCCGCAGCAGTGAAGGTGCCAAGTCCTAACCACTGGACCACCAGGGAACTCCCCCCAGGTCCCCTTTTATTCCAGGTGGTTTACTGCAGGACAGGGGGCTGGTCCCCTGAGCAAAATGGGAGGTTCCTGAGATTATCCAGAGTTTTCTGCCTTAAAGTCCCTAAATTCCATATTTTAAAAAACATTATTTCTTTTTGGCTGCGTTGGGTCTCTGCTGCTGCGCGCGGGCTTTCTCTGGTTCCAGCGAGCGGGGGCTACTCTTCATTGCGGTGCGTGGGCTTCTCACTGCGGTGGCTTCTCTTGTTGCGGAGCACGGGCTCTAGGCACGCAGGCTTCAGTAGTTGCAGCACGTGGGCTCGGTAGTTGCAGCACGCAGGCTCTAGGGCACACAGGCTTTAGTAGTTGTGGCGCGTAGGCTCAGTAGTTGTGGCTGTAGAGTGCGGGCTCAGTAGTTGTGGTGCACAGGCTTAGTTGCTCCGAGGCATGTGGGATCTTCCCGGACCAGGGACTGAACCCATGTCCCCTGCGTTGGCAGGTGGATTCTTAACCACTGCGCCACCAGGGAAGTCCCCTAAATTCCATTTTTTTTAAGGATTTTTTTCCTATACTCGCACAATTCATGAATACATTTTCATTGTAAAATTTTACACATTACAGGTAAAATTTCCCTCCACTGTCAGTTCTACCCCATTCCCTCCTGTTCTATCCCCAGAACTGATCACTGTTGGCTAATATTTTCCTGCCTCAGTTTCCTTATCTGTAAAATGGGGATAATAATGGTTCCTGTTTCATAGGATTCTTTTGAGGATTCAATTAATGCATCTTCTGGCGCTTGGAAGATACTCTAGAAGTATTAGCTATTAGCTCTGTCAATATTATTATCCTTCCAGAGCTTGTTTTTCCATTATGTACATATCCATAGTCTTAGTTTCCTCTTAAAGTCTTTTCAGTTCAAATGTTTTTCTTTTTCATAAAATCACGTGTGCCACATGCTGATCTAAGCAGCACCCGCTATCCGATAGCCAGCTTGTCCCCAAGCTCCTGCCCCGGCTCTTTGTTAATGGGATGGGGCTCTCCTGAGGTGCTAGGCAGCCCCAGAGCCTTGGTGGTTGGAGCCGAGGGCGCCTCGGAGGTGGAAGCAGCAAGAAGGCAAGAGAAGCCCCTGCAGCCTGGGCCGAGCCCCCGTCGGAAAAAGCTTGGGAGGCAGGAGGGAGTGGCCATTCTCCAGGAGACTTGGCCAGACGTGCTCCCAGCTCCCTAAGGAAGGAGCCTCTTTCTGGCATTTGTTCATTGTAAGGACCACTAGCGTTTATTGAGCACACGCTGAGTGCCAGGCATTGAGCCCTTCCGGATGTGCCCTGTGGCACGCGTCTCACGTGCTTTCTTAGCCGGCTGGATACAGCCCCTTCGTCTGCTGTGACCCGGAAAGCCTGGACGCTGACCCCCTACTCTGCTGACCGAGGTGTTGGGGGCTTAAGACTTGACCTGCCTGATTGTTGAGCACTACCTCTGGGACCTCTGCCAGGGGGCAGAGGCAGAGGCAGAGGCAGGGGAGGTTTCAGAATCAGAACTGTCTTTTTTTTCTTTATAAGCTGCAATCCCTGTTATCTCCGCCTTGGGGAAAGGAGTGATCCTCACGCTGCCAGGCACTGACTTTTGGCCTGCCCAGTGGCGTGGCCCCTGGCATCCGCACAGCCTGGTGCCAAGTGAGGGGGGAAGGTGCAGTTGGTGAGACTTGGGGACGAATGTTGGGAGGAGCCTCGGCGGCCCCCACCTTTGCTGTCACCTGCTGGCCAGAGACCCTTTGTCCTCAAGGCAAACACTTCTGGGGCTGTAAGGGTTTTTTTTCCTTTTATTTTATTTTTTCTAAATGGAAAAATCAATTGAGTGAGCCCAGCACTTAGGAAGCCCTATAGAGTTGTGGTCCCTTTAGAGCCGCAGGGCCATCAGCCGGCAGGAGACGGGCATCCGCTGCCCCGGCCCTCACGGCTCAGCCCTCTCCCCGGCCCCCAGAATTGGTCAGCAGCTTTCCTCCGACCCAGCGCCCAGCAGCATAGGACAGATCGGGAAATCAACACCCCGGAAGGCACAGGGAAGTGTTCCCAGAGCTGAAAATAGTTCTGGAAACTTGCCAGGGGGCCACAGGACCGGATGTGCCTGCAGTCCCCCCGGTGGAGCTCTGGGTCCTGGGCAAACAGCACCCAGCCCTGCCCCATGCAGACTCTTGGGCAGTGGGGTCTCTGCTTTATTTACCCTGGCGCCTGGCAGCTGGCCCGCAGCAGGAGAGGCCAGAGCTGGAGGCTGGCCATCTTGGAAGGCGGCCGAAGGTCCATGTGCCCCTCTTGGCCTCTGGCCCCAGAGGGCGGAAGGGGATGTGAAGGTTGCTGACGGGACATTTTTTCGGTGGGAGGGGGTCTCATGCTGCAGGGAAAGCCCCAGGGGAAGGCGAGCATTGTGCTCTCTGTGCATCTAAACAAAGGGATGCTGGGCTCCACGGGGTGGGGTACACCCGCAGCCTCACCCCCAGGGCTGGCCTAGCCCCCTTTTCCCTCTCCCTGCCTCCTGGGGAGCCTTGCCTGAGAGCAGGAAAGGGAGCTTAAAGCCCAGCCCAGAGCAGCTGCTATGTTTCCTTGCAGCTAAGAGACCAGTGTCACCGTACAGTGGGTACAATGGGCAGCTGCTGACCAGTGTGTACCAGCCCACTGAGATGACCCTGATGCACAAAGCCCCGGTGAGTGGGGTGCCCGGGTGTGCAGGGTGGGTGGAAGCGGGAGGGAGAAGGCAGGCTCTGCGTCCGGTGTGTCAGCCATCGGGAGCCCAGGACCCCAGCTCCCGAAGCCTTCCTCCTGGGGTTGACGCTCCTACTGCCTTGCGCGACACTGTGGCGGGACCTGTCTGCCCTGTGTCATCGGGGTGTCAAACGCCCACTGAGGACAGCTGCTCAGAACAATCTCTCTCCGAGCTGGTGGGAGCTGCCAGCTTTCCCCTAAGCAGCTTAGGGAGGGACAAGGGGGGGCCTCAGCCAGGTAGGTGCCATTCGTGGTGGACAGAGGACCACAGGGCAGGTCTGGGTAGGTATTAGCTGCTCCGCCACAGCTGTCCCAAGAGGCTCTCCTGCTCCCTTCCCCCCACCAGCGGGCAGCAGCTCTCGACCTTACACCTCCCCTGGGCTCCGGAAACCAGATGCTCCATTAGCCAAGGGAGGGCGGGTGGGAACAGGAAGCCGGTGGGTTAGAGTCTTACTCGCTCCTATACGTTCCTCCTCCCCGGCTGGCTGACAGTTGCTCTTGGGGAGACCCCTCGCTCTCCGGAGCCTGAACCTGCAGCTAGGTTCCAGGAGAGGGAGGCTGCGGCCAGGAGCCAGGATAGGCCGAGGAATGAATCTCTGAAGGGCACAAGCACAGTTTGCCGGCCCCCAGACACCCAGGGTGCCCCACCTGGCCACCCCTCACCTGTGTGCATGGAGTCATGCTTCTTCAGGAAGGAGCTGAACTAATAGATATTTTCTCTAACGGTGGCTCCAGAAACACGGTCCCTCGACCCCCAGCGTTACCATCCCCTGGGAACTTGCTAAAGAGGCACAAGGGCCAGCAGTGTGATGGAGCAAACAGTTAGCATCTCTTCAGTGATGTCACCTTGATAACTTGGAGTTATCCAAGCCATGATGGGAATAACCGCCCACAGAGATCTGCCAGCATTACAGATCAGGGTCGTGAAACATTCACCAGCTCACCACGGGGTGGGGCCCCCTAGGCATGGCTGTGGCTTCATAAACAGTCAGGTGATTCTGACGCACAGCCAGGTTGGAGAACCCGTCCTCGATCTAGATGTTCCAGGAGCTACATGGGGAGGGGGAGTTGGAGATGGTAAATGGGTTGGGAGGACCACCCGGGTCTGAGTGGATTCAGAAGGCAGCTTGGGGCCCTGGAGCTGCGGGGGTTTGGTGGCAGCTGTGTGCCTAGGGATGAGGCAGGTGAGGCCTGGAGCTCACCTTCCCTCCAGGGTGGGACCTGGGACCCATGCCCCAGCCTCACCCACACAGGAACAGAACCAACGCAGCTCCGACCAGGATCCAGGCAGAGACTTTGGATTTTAAGTCTCCAAAACTTAAAACTCTCAAACCCCAAACCATTCGGGGTTTAAGTCTCTAAATCAGACTGCCAGATGAGAAACGTGTGACACGCCTGGGACCTGACAGAAGGGTGTTCTGGGCCCGGCACACCAGCCAGTGATGCCGTTGGGGGCGTGTAATGCCACCGGGGGTACTCAGCTAAGAGTCTTGGAGGAAGGGGGCCTGGGAGCGTAGCCGGGCCGGGTCACAGAAGCCCTGTGTGTTTCACTCTCTGTTGGGCCCCAAGGTTTAGGGAGTGGGACAGGGCTTGAGAGGAAGATCCTTTTGGAAAGAGCCATCCACTGTGTGAAGCCCCAGGACCATCAGAGGTGACTGGGAGCCTCATTTCCATGCCCAGAGGGTGGCCCTCTGCAGGGTGAGATAAGGGGCTGGAGGTCAGAGGTCAGCTCCTCCATTTCCAGACTCGGAGTCATCCATCCCAGGCCTGGCTGGAAGGGGGCAGAGGGGGAGGGCAGGGAGGGAAGGGGGAGCTGGCAGGCGCAGCCCTGCAGGAAGCGGAGTGGGAGTGTGTGTGCATCCGCCCGGGCGGAACCCAGCTGTGACACCGCCTGTTCTTCCTTCCAGTCAGAAGGAGCTTACGACGTCATCCTCCCGCGGGCTACTGCTAACAGCCAGGTGATGGGCAGTGCCAACTCCACCCTGCGGGCCGAAGACATCTACGCAGCCCAGAGCCACCAGGATGCCACCCTGCCGAAGGAAGGCAAGAACTCTCAGGTCTTTAGAAACCCCTACGTGTGGGACTGAGGCGGCACCAGGAGGAGGCGGGAAGATCTGGGGACCTGACCCAGGCGAGGGTCTTCCTGGGAGCCCGTGCTCTCCCCTCCCCCTCCCCCTCGCTGGCTCAGGACAGGTCATGGGCCTCAGCCGGGAGGCCCTCCCCATCTGCCAGTGTTCGGCTGGGCATCCCCGGGCCCCTCACCCACTCCTCAGTGTCTGTGGAGTCCAGGAGCCAACTCCGGCTTCGTGTCAGGGTCACCTGGCTTCGTGTCAAGGTCACCTGCGGCAGCCACGCTCCAGCCAAATCGTGTTCTTCCTGGGGTGGCGGCCAGTCAGCACCTACATTCTCTGGAGTCTTCAGAGAGATTCCTGCAACCTTGAGAGATGTCTCAGGCGCTTCTGTCCCGGGTCTTGCTCCTCTGTGAGGGGCAAGGGTGCCTAATAAACACGTTTCTGCTTTATTAACCCTTCTTCTGGGAATGTCGTGTCTGATCTGGGCTTTCGGTGTCTGATCCGCCCCTCCACCCTGGCCTGTGGGCGTTTCCTCTTTCTCCTCCCCCGCTCTGAATCCAGCTCCCAGGAAAGCCGCTGCTGGGTTTTCCTTCTGTGCAACGAAGTAGCTGACACCTCTCCCCAGGGAAGAGTTCTTCAGCTAAGCCTGGGTCCGTGTCCTGTGCGATCAGCACGGACCTCTGGGCCCGGCTCCTGTCTCGGGTCTCGTGCAGCATCTGGGCTTATGTGAAACGAGGCAGCTTTCCTCTGGGATCCCCTCCACTGGGGTCGGGGCCGGGGGAACGCAGCAGGGAGCTCTGTGGAGGGTATTTGTAAGGGAAGATGGGCTGGCTTCAGCCCCTTTAGTGGGAAGGGTGGTGCAGATCCAGCAGTGGATGGGGTGCAGGGCCACTGCTCCATCTCTCAGATCACACTGTGTGTGTGTGTGTGTGTGTGTGTGTGTGTGTGTGTGTGTGTGTGGCTGGGAGTGATTCGCAGAGGACCAGGACCTGTTTTCAAAGGTGGGAAGGGGCGGGCCAGGTTCTGGTAGGTTTCACTCCTGGGCAGGAATTTAAATGCCCATTTGCTCAGTCCTTTATGGTAAAACCTTTCCACAGTGGCTCATTTGAATCCTCGGGGCTGCCCCTGAAAGATGGGTAGGACAGTAAGTACTTTCTCTCCCTTTTCCAGAGTCAAAATCCCAGAACCAGACCATTTTAGGGTTAGACAGGGCCCTGGGGGTAAGTGATCAAAGTAGCTCTCTCACCACCTCTGACAGGTAAGCAGACTGACCCAGAAAGGCCACAGAGCCTCTAGAAGTGGCCATGCTGAGACTGGCCAGGCTTTCCCAAGACTCTGGCTTGTAGCAGGTCCCGGTGGCCTGGGTTCAGACGTGCAGTGGTGCTCTGACCCTTGGCAAGGGGCTGGCCAAGTCGGCTCCTCCCAGGTTTGGGAATGTTTCTCCCCAGCTCGCCAGAAGCTATTTTCTGACACCGGTTGTAGGGAAAAGATGTTTCTGTTGGAAGAGGGGAGAAAGGTTGCTGGAAGAAAAAAAAATCAAACTTCTCCTTCGATGTCAGATTGCACCAACTCCCCTGGAGACTCAAACCCTTTTATTAGTTGTTCAAACACTTGTTCTTTCTGGTTACTTTAGGCTCAGTCCCCAAGATGGTAGACGCCCTCTTCCCTGGACCGCACGTCGTTCTGCTGCCCTCATTCCTCTGTGTCCAGGCTGGGCAGGGCCCTTGTCACTGGAGCGGGAAGGGCCCGGAGGCCACCGATCTGGAACAGTGGAGTCAGGGGCCGTGTGAAACCCTGGGGCATGTGGCTGGGGCTGTGGTCCACCCCCCCTCCCCGCCCCCGCAATTCCTGCCCAGCCCAGCCTCTCCTGGTCCCCAAGTGACCTGAGACCACAGGAGCCATCTGCAGACACCCAGCCTCCCTCTGGATGCCCTCCCCCGACATCACAGCCCCTGTGCCCCCTGCTGTGGGTCTCCAGATGGTCATCCTTCCTGGCCATCTTTCGGTTCCAGCCTCAGCCAGTCCCGCCCTGCTCCAAGGCGAAGCCAAACCGTGGCGAAGCTGGCCCTTGCCCTTCTCACCTGCACCTCCTGCCACCACCTGGACCGTGGAAGGCCGCTGAGCTGGGCAAAGCTCACTCGAGACCCGGACAGATCGTGCCTCTCTTCCTGGCCTGCGGGTCCTGGATCTGAGCCCCTCTGCATCACCACCTGATACCTTCATTGAACTAGGTCCCATCAAGACACAAGGTGGGGGCTAGGGCGGCATTCTCAGGGGTCGATTGAGAGTCCTGGGCCAGACGGACCGGGGTCTAGGCCCCTCCCAGGACTGAGACCTGTGGGACTGGGCGCAGCCCCTTAGGTACGAGGTGTCCAGGACTGCAGACTGCGCCATTTCCTGACGGGCAGATGGCTAGGCTTCTGCCTCACCTTGGGCACCTCGACAGCGCTGGTGCTGTTATCATCCATGACAGGCTCCACCGGGTCCTGATGGCCACCAAGGGAAGTGGGGGCGTCCTGGCGACCTGCATGATGCTGGTACCGGCAAGGATGTGCGCACAGCTCCAGACTCGTGGGAACGAGATCTCGGCAGTGTCTCCTTGGCCTCCTGCCCTCGGGTACCAGAGCTGGCTCATCCAAGGGGCTCAAGCCAGGTGTGTCCCCAGAGCTCACCTCTGCCTGCTGAGACGAGGGAGGATGAGCACAACGCAGGTGCTGACCCCGTAGGCTGTCCCACAGCCCTCACCCCCACCCCAGCGCCACCCTCCTGCCCCCAGCACCTGTGCCTTTGTCACCAGCGTGTTTCTCCAGGGCTAAGTTGGGTGAACAGGCCCTGCAGAGAGCAGGGCTGTACCCCCGAGTGTGACGACCCCCTCCCCATCCACTGACTCTTGTCCTGGACTGCCCAGTTCCATGAATGGAGTATTAGTTACTCTGATGGAAGGGGAGGGGGGAGCTCTGAGCACCCCCGACTCCTTGTGATCTAGGTCATAGCCCCAAATCCCTCGCGGTGAAGAAAGGCTCTACCTCGCTTTTCGAGCTGAGAGTCTCGAGTGAGTCCTGGCAGTGCCAAGAGGCCACGGGGAGCAGCCTGCAGTGAATGTGGGTTTGTTCAGAGTCTGAGTCCCCTGGAGGCCTGTGGGTGAGGCCGGGGAGGGATGGGCTCCTGAAAGATGCAAACCTGCCCAGATTCAAGAATACCCCGTGGCCCTGCTTCCTCCAGTCTATGGCCAAGTGAAGAAGACAGAAGTGTTCCAGCTGCATCACAAGCCTTGAATGGAAAAAACCAGAATAGGCCAGAACCTGTTGCAGGTGACGTCAGGCCAACACCTTGGTAAACGGCACACCCATTTCTGTCAAACCGTGTAGCTCGGGGCAGGGTAGTTTGGACTTAATCACTGCTCAGGATTACATGACCTTATTCTCTGTTTGTGAGGAATTACTACCACAGAATCCCTGTGTGTTCATTAAGAATTTGTCTGGGATTTATTAATATATATTTTTAAATCCAGCTCCTTGCCTTCTAGACCAACAAAGGCTGTCTGATTCCCACTAAATTTTTTTCTTGGTTGGGGATTTGTTCTAAGGGGAAACCAGGCCTCCCAAACAGGCCAAGCCCAAGGTCACTGTCTCCCCACACACCCCCTCTCCCCCCAAACACAAGGCCTGGTGATGCAGGCATGGGGCAAGAGAGGGGACCCACCTTTATCATAATCTTGCTGCTGCCTGGTGGGCTGGTGGGAAGGGAGGTGGGAGCACTGTTGGGTAAACTTCTGGGCTCGTGGGAAGGTGGGTGGGAGCCAGGTATAACTAATACCTCCCTTGAGTCAGGAGGACCTGCCAAATGCCATGCCCAGCGTTCAGTTTACACATGTGGCTCCTGAACTCTTTCAGCATACCTCACAGTTCCTGTAAGAGCAAGAAACAGGTTAAGTGACTTGCCCACAGTCACGCAGCTAGTTCGGGTCCGTCAGCCCTCCAATCCATTCTCACCAGGTCTAGCATTTCTAGCTCCAGGGGGACCTGCGGTGCTCAGGCACAAGTGCGAGTGACCTGACTTTGTTTCCTGTCTGCCGTCTGCACTCTGGGCCCTCTTGGATGCTGCAGCCCCCGCTCGCAGCAGCCACATGAATTATTTAGCATGTGCACCAGCCCGGTAATGCTCTGACCTCATCCTCCTAGGGCTCAGGGCGGGGCTCTGACCTCGGTCTCCTTGAGGAAAGGCTGCTGAAGGGCGGAGGCTGGGACGTGGGTCCCTGTGGGATGTGGGTGACCGAGGGGACATCAGTACCCTCAGGGAAGTGGGTGGGGGCCAGAGCCCAACTGCCCTTGTAGCCGGAGGCAACTCTGCAGAGGGGAGAACACACCCCAGGAATCAGATGGCCACGCGTTCGGATCCAGGCTCTGGCTTACTAACTTTGTGACTCTGGGCAGCCCTCTTGACTCTCCCTCAGTTTCCTCATCTGTAAAATGGAAGAGCTAACACTCTGAGTTCGTATTTAGTGCTGAGCTTCTCAAGGTCACTCCGTGGAAGTGAGTGCCATGGATACGCATCCAGGAGCTAGCTGCCGCCTGTCTCCTGCCCAGGCAGGATGCCCTCCAGGCCACATTTCACCACCTTCTGCCCTCTGGAGGTGCCACATCTTCTCTTTCCTCTGCTGTCCCTCACGGGTGCCCAATGGGTGGGACAGCAGGTTGCTGGGATTGGAGGGAGATCCCAAGGAGAAGGACAGACCCTTGGCAGAGCCCTGACCGGCAGGGGTCGGCAACCAAGGTGTTAAGAGGGTCACCTGCGCACAAGAATTCAAGAAGAGCTAAGGCTGAACTGCTTTCAGTCCGTAAGCAAATGCTTACTAAGCCCCTACTCCGGGGACCTAGCAAGAGCGGATCCCTGCCCGCTGGGCGGCTCACAGCCTAACTCCTCCTTCCCCAGGTCAGACCCAGGGGCTGAAGTGGACGTGGTGATGGTGGGTTCCATCCCGGATCCAAGTTGGCATTAAGCAGGCGGATCACACTTCCACCGGGCCCCTCCCGCCCCCGTCCCTCCGAGTGGCACTTCTGCTGTCAACAGGGCTCCTCGGGTGCGATCCGGTTCTTACTAACTCCCGGACTTTGGACAGCTTCCCTCACCCTGCCCGGGTTTCCTCATTTGTAAAATAGACCCCAGCCTCCAGCTCTGCCTAAGGCCTGGATCTGGGGCCCCCAGCAGTTGATTGAGAGGGGCCCCGAAACCATAGGGCTGTGCTGAGGGTGACCCCAGGGGCCTCGACTCCGAGTCTGGAGGAGAGCAGGGCGGACGCGGGGCCACCGCCCCCTGGCGGTGCCTGGAGCAGAGGCACTGGGGGCGGGGGGCCGAGGGGCGGGGACGGGGAGTGGCGAATCCCAGGCAGCGCTCTGCTCCTTGCCCCGCCTCTCCGGCCCTGCCTGAGGAGGGGGGCGGGGGGGAGCGGGCCCCCGAACGCGGCAGACGCCCCACTGTCTCCCACGCACCTGGGGTGGCAGGAGGTGGGGCTGAGGACCGAGCCCCGGGCGCCCGGACGTCACTCTCCAGCGAGGACCCGCCCCCCAGCCCCCAGCCAACCTGGGTCCGCCTGCTGCTCCCCACCCCCGGCCCCGCCCCCGACACCCCTGCAACCTGATCCCAGCCGCCGGGGCAGCCGGCCCGGACCGGTTGTCTCCACTTGTATAGCCGTCTGGGCTGCGGCCTGCCCGGGGCCGCCGAGTCCTGGCCCTTCTCCGCCTTCAGGGCCCGGCCGGGCCAAGACCCGGTCCTTCCACTCAGCTTCCCCTCTGGGGACCTTTTTTCCGCCCCCTCCCAGGCTGCGAGCCCTGGACCCGGGCCGATACCTGCAGCGTTCATCCTTGTATCTCTGGGCCCAGCACAGAGCGGGGGCCAGGGAAGCGGGTCCCTGTTCCCTTGAGAAGAAATCCCCTCTGGGAGGCTCGCTGAGCTCATAAAGCTTGGATGGGTGGGTGTGATGGGGCCCGGGGAGCCCCACTGCCTCCTGCCTGCCTTGCCTCTAGGGCGGGATTTCTCAGACTGGCGCTACTGACGTTTGGACCCAGATCATTCTCCGTGGTGTGGGCCGTCCTATGCAGTGTAGGGTACTGCGCAGCGTCTCTGGCCTCCACCTTCTAGATGCCAGTAGCGCCGCCACCATCCCCCTAGCTGCGACAACGAAAAATGTCTCCGAACATTGCCCGGTGGCCCCTGGGGGCAAACTCCTGGATTGAGAACCACTCCTCGGGGGTATTGCCGTGGGCGTCCAGCCGGGGCACACAGGGCCCTGGGTCTGGAGCTGGAGGCACAACCCCCCCGCCCCCCCCCCCCCCCCCCGCGCACTCCGCTCCAAGTCCAGGACTCTGACTCTGACGGGCTTCCCCTCCCCGAGCTGGTTTGCAGGAGCCTCAGGCCAGCCTGGAGACTATGACCCCTCAGCCTGACAACATTCAGGCAGCATGTGACCAGCCAGCTCCCCTCACTGTGCAAACCCCTTCTCGGCTCCTCCCCCAGGTGGGTACTAAGCAGGGCCCTAGGGCCGGGGATGCGGGAGACTCAGATGTTTCTGTCACCAACAGTCAGTGTAGTTGGGGCACCAGAAGGGCAGCCTCCGGTTCACAGAGAGGAGCTGGGGGAGGGGCCTTGGTGGGCTGAGGCCACCCACTGAGCCCGGGGGCTGTCAGGATGGAGGGTCAAGGGAGCATCTCCATCAGCGGGGGCTTAGCTGTGGACCCCAGTCCTTGGGGCCAACCGGACATGGCAGGGCTCAGCCTCTGTTCTCTTTCCATAGGGGAGGCAAAAAATAGGGCAGCCTCTTACACACGAGCGTGCACACACACACATACGCATACCCGTCACACATACACACACGTACACACCTGGAGGTAGAGGGCAGGGGAATGGGGTTTTTGGAGCACAAAAAACTATAGGTCCCGGCTGGGGAAGATTCAGTTCGGCCCCTGAACCAGGCCCGCTTGGGGCTGGCCCTCACAGCCAGGTCGGGGGTAGAGAGAGGGTGGGGTACCCGCCCCTCCGGATGCAAAGCAGAATTTTCAAAAGGATCCAATCCCAGCGGGAAGTGGGGAGGTTTTACTAGTCCCTTCTTTCCCCATATTCCTATTTTCCAGTATCTGCATAAAGAGACAAAAGACATCATAACAGGTTAAAGAGGAGGGGACGGGTCCCCAGGACCAGGCAGATGAGGGACAAGATTTTTCACTGTCTCCCACCACCACCTTTCCCTCCTTGCTTCCTTCCTCTCATTCCTTCCTTCTCCACAAAAACAAATTACATATCTTTGGGATCTCCCTGGCGGTCCAGTGGTTAAGGCTCCACCCTTCCAGTGTAGGGAACACGGGTCCGATCCCTGGTCAGGGAGTTAAGATCCCACATGCCTTGCAGCTCAGCTTAAAAAAAAAAAAAAAAAAATTACGTATTTAAAAACAACTGATCTGAAAGAAAGAAAAGGTGCCCCCAAAGTGAACTCACCCTGTAGCAGCCCCCTTCCCACGGGCCTGTGTGGTCACTGCCCTGCCCTTTGCAGGGGCCAGACCCAGCGATCCTCGGCCACACCTCTCACTCCTCGTCCCCTAAGAAAGATAGGCAGCTCTCACCCCGCCAAGTTTGTCCAGTGCCTTCTCCCCTGGGGAGGTTTTCGAGGTGGCTGAGGATGGGGGCCAGGAGAAAGCAGAGTGTGTTCATTGCATGTAGGGGCGTGGGAATCCCACACACACCCCACCCCTACCTTGCTAAATAATTGCAATTCTGAGGACTCTGAATGAGATATGCAGGCCGTAGATTGGCGTGCTCCTGCAGTTTTCAGTTTTTCTGCATGTAGCTCATCCTTATCAAGCATGCCATGTCCCGCAGGGCAGACAGCTCAGATCTGGGAATAACATTTGGCTCGTTCATTTCATTCATTCTTTACTTCTTCATCAATATTTATTAAAGGCTGTTCCCTACCATGATGCTCACTGACCTCAGTTTCCACACTGAACTCTGTCGGGCACACAATTTTCCTCACGCCTCAAATCTGTGACCTCCATCTCTGCGTGTCACTTCAGCCACATGTCAGCTGTCTCTGGGAGTTACCACCCACTGTCTGTGTGATTTCTACAGCTACCTTACCGTATCGAGGATGTGCTGCCATACTCTTGGGCTGCAAGGACAGAGTCACCCATAAGTGTGCGTGTGTCTGAGTACCTGTGTTGGGGGTGAGGGCTGACCTGGGAGAGGTTGTCAGATTAGAAAGTGGAGCCCATGACCCCTGGGCAGGGGTAAGGGAGTCTCTCCCTTGGTCAGAATCACGAAGGCCACCAGGGGAGTTTGTGAGTCATCAGAAGGTCCATTCTCCATGGGGACCAATGAGTAGAGAATCTGGTATATTCGTTTGCTACTTTGCCATCTGCCAAGGTACCACAGACTGGGAAACTTAAACGACAGAA